TCAAATCAATATGCCAGATATTAAATTAGTTTGGGAGACATTTTTGTTAGGTTATGGATTAGGATAAATAAAATCCCAAGGTTATGAATTCGTAATATGCATATTTTTATGCTCTTTTTTTTGTTAAGCTTTAGTACTATATATGTTTATCTATACATGTTATATATATAAGTTTGATAAGTTTCAACCAAACGCACGTCGGCTAAAAATTAAACGACGTGAAAACGTTTTAACGTTGATCAAACATGATAACCAACATCAAAATATTGTGGTTTATTTTCATTTGCATACTAGTAGGAAAAAAGTTAGAAAAGGAAAAAAGAAAAAAAAAAAAAAAAAAAAAAAAACAACAACAATTAATGTTGTGGCGCGACACATCAACTATGTCGAGAAATCATGACAATTACCTTAAACTAATAAATAGTTAATATGAACCATTGAATTGCTTCAATCTTTCGTGAATACAAAACTCATTCCTTCTCCGGTAAGTGAATAATATATATGTGCGTGTATATATATATATATATATATGTGTGTGTGTGTGTGTGTGTGTTCATAGAATCCGTGAATTCCCTCAATTCATCTAATTTAAATCAATATGCCAGATATTAAATTAGGCTGGGAAGCATTGGTAATAGATTAAGATAATTATAATCCGAATGTTTTGAATTCATAATATGCATTTTTTATATTCTGTTTTTGTTAAGCTTTTATAGTACTATATATGTTTATATGTATATAATTTTCCTAATTCCTAGACTCTTTGAGTGAAGCTAGTTTGTCATAATTAATTAAGTTGTAATAAGTAAAAGGTTGTAATAAGTTAAATCTATTGTTCACACACCTCTTTTCACTCTCTACACTTCTCTTTATTTTAAATTTTCTTATGACAAAAGGACCCTTACATACAATTACAAAAAAGGACAATTATAACATATTTAATCATGTAATTAAATTTCATTAAAAAAACTAGTTACATAGATTTTATTCTCTCCACGCACCCCTCATGTTATATTTTAAATATAAACTATTGATCTTTTAAAATTTATAAAAAAACTCTAATTTTCATATTTCAATAACTATTCCAAAAATTTGCATTGATATAATATTAAATTTTCTTTGCTATGGGTTGTATGAGAATTTTTTTGTCTTTTTTTTAATTTCATTTTTATATTTTTTACTAAATTCTTTTTAAAGACTACTAATTTCATTTTTTTTATATCATTTTTTTTATTAAGGTGGATTGGCATTTTTCTCATTTCATCTTCAATTTGTTTTTGTTTTGGAAAAGGCTTCACACCCAAACCTTCAAAAAAATAATATATATATATATATATGAAGGGATGGAAAAATAATACTATTTAAATAAAAAATTAAAATAAAATGGTGGATGTGAAAAGAAAATTAAAGAGTTAATTATTTTATAAAAATAGTTGAGGGCAATATTGGAATGATAGGGGTGTGTAAAAAAAAAAAAATAGTTCTTTTAAAATTATGTGAGGTGTGTATTTAGTAGGGAGTATGGAGAGTCAAAATTAAAGGTGGGTGCGAATAAAACCACCATTTTTATTATAGTGTGTGTATTTAAATTTCTCATAAGGAAAGAATGGGCTTCATTAGTCATAACATTAAAGGTTAAAGTCCTAATTCGCCCATGATTTGTCATAGTTTAGGGTAGACTTATTATTTATAGAGAAAATTACTAAACTTACACTTAGGAGAGAATTATTGTACTTATCCTTAAGAGTGTCTAAGTTTTTATTTTTACTCTTTACTTTTGATTAATATCATTTTAAGTAATTAATATAGTTATTTAATTAAAAGGATATTAATAAAAAATAAATGGTAAAAATCTATACTCATGTGCTCTTGGATTTTTACCTTTTGCATTCTCCATCTTCTAGGTGCAAATATGAAAAAATATATAGATAATCTATATCTGTTATGGAAAATAATATCATCATAATGCACTCACGACTTTTTTTTTTTAATTATAGCCAATCTATTTCTGGTCTTTGCCCTTTTTATACAGTATAGATAGATAGACTAACAATTTATTTCCGACAAACTTAAGAGTGCAATTGTAGGATTTTTCATATAACAAACAGATCAGAAAAGTGTCTGCATTTGCACTCCCGATCCTTTTTATTATTAACTTTTCTAATTTCTTATGATAAAAAAGGCACTCATCACAATTAAAACATGAATTTAACTTTTTAGTGAGTAGGCCCTACAACTGCAACTTATAAAAATTAAAGAAAACAATGGCATGCCAATTGCTTACCATGTCGGTAGAGATACCTATTTAACTTTATTAAAATTAATGAAGAAGACATTTGGTACTTTTTATTTATTTATTTTTTATAAGGAACTTGATATATGTCTAGTATAAATACCTTTGCATGGCTCTTAAAGTACTGCATAACCCAACTTTCTCTTTCCTTAGGCACAATTTAAATCTTGTTCTATTCTTCGCAAATTTCCACCCAATTGTCCAGAAATGGCCCCCACATTGGCGATTACAACAAACACCGAACCCTCCAAAGTCACTGACTTTGTCTTAAACAAAGGTTTTGGAGTAAAAGGTCTTTCAGAATCTGGCCTCAGAAGCCTGCCCAAGGAATATATCCAGCCCATTGAGGAGAGAATTATCACTGTGAACGAAGTGGTACACGGAGAGTCCATTCCCATCATTGACATGTCAAAATGGGATGATCCGAAAATGGCAGATTCGATCTGCAACGCCGCAGAGAAATGGGGTTTCTTCCAAATAGTGAATCATGGGGTTCCCATTGAAGTGCTGGAGAGTGTTCAGGAAGCTACTTGTCGCTTCTTTGGGTTGCCAGCTGAGGAAAAGAACACGCATTCTAAGGAGAATTCGGGTTCGAACAATGTTCGATACGGAACGAGCTTCACTCCTGAGGCGGAGAAAGCTTTGGAATGGAAGGATTATCTTAGTCTCTTTTATGTTTCGGACGATGAGGCCTCTGCACTTTGGCCAGCTGCATGCAGGTAAGAAAACACAATTTGTAGAAAATGTGTATTTATCCAATAATATTATGTGCACGAGTTTTCAATCGTTACGACAAAACAATAATTGTTTACAGGGATGAAGTGCTTGAGTACATGAAGAAGACTGAAACAGTCATAAAAAGACTGTTGCGAGTGCTGGTTAAAAGGCTGAATGTAACTGAAATAGACACAGAGAAAGAAAATCTTTTAATGGGATCCAAGCGGATTAATCTTAACTACTATCCGATTTGCCCAAATCCTGAACTGACAGTAGGAGTTGGCCGTCATTCTGATGTGTCAACTCTTACTATCCTCCTTCAGGATGAGATTGGTGGTCTTTATGTTAGAGTCGAAGAAAGTGACAATTGGATCCACGTCCGCCCTATAAAAGGGTCCTTAGTTATTAACATTGGAGATGCTCTACAAATTATGAGCAATGGACGATATAAAAGTGTAGAGCACAGAGTCGCAGCTAATGGAAAAAGTGACAGAATTTCGGTCCCTATATTTGTCAATCCAAGGCCATCAGATATGATCTCTCCTTTCCCAGAAGTGTTTGCTACTGCCCAAGGAACAGCCATATATAAGCAAGTTTTGTACTCAGATTATGTCAAGCACTTTTTCAGGAAAGCTCATGATGGGAAACGCACAGTTGACTTTGCAAAAATATGAAGTTTTCTTATGTACTATTCGACTTCAAGATTTAGTCGAATAAATAAATTCAAATAAGCAAAAGAGTACTAAAGGATGTAAGGCCTTTGGTTTTTTTGAAGTGGAAACTTACCTTCATTAATTTAAGGCATTTCTTATGTGATAATCAATTTTTCTTCTATATGTATGCTTCAAAATCATTAGTTTCCATTATGTATGGATGAAAAATATTGGTCACAATTAATTAAAAGAATGTGTGACCTACCATGTGTGTACGTGTGTTTCTCTTAGCCCTATAAAAGTAGAGAGAGAAAATTACAAAAATAACCATTGATTTTTATCATCCCACTATTTATGCTATTTAAAAATTTTCTAGTAGAATATGAAACGTTTTCTGATAGAATACAAAAAATATCATGTTAGAAAAATATATTCCAATAGAATATGAAAGATATAGGTCATATTATAATGGCATAAATGATAAATGTTAAAATTAATGGCAGAAATAAGATAGTGTTATTTTTGTAATGACAATCTTAAAAAATTTATAAAAAAAAAAACCGTAGAAAATCAAAATGATATATACAAAATATATACAACACCTGAGTTTTGAAAGTAAATAAAAAAATTATTTTTAGAAAAATAACAAGTGTAAAAAGTAAACATTGACACTATTCCAAGAGAAATAAATACGGAAAACACCACATGAGCACCATAGTACAAGTTTTGATAAGGTGTCAAAATTTTTATTGAGGGGACAATTATAGGACAGGAATTTGGGGGACATCATATTTAGACTCGGCATGATAGTTGGTATTCAAGAATCTACAAAATGAAATTTTAATGAATTAAAAGAAACTGTTTTTAAAACTAATATACATGGAACCCGCGATGCGTTTTTGACCATGCAATTGATGTTCATACAAAAATAAAAACAACTTGTACAAATTTTATATGATCGACAAACATAATGTTGCACTCAGCATATGAAAACAAAAGGTTAATCAATTGTTTATGAATTGAAATACTCAAATCAACCATATTTACGTATTTTTATTTTTTTTTTAATTTCTGAATCACAATACTCATCCTTGAGCAGGTCTACAATATAAGTGAATTTTTGCTCTTGAGTGAAAGCTTTTAGTAGGCAAACTCAAAAACAAAGAAGAAAGAGGGACGGCAGTAATAAGCGTAAGAGAGTTGCCACTCAGCCTGACCGGCAAAAGTGTCCCATGTTTAGGCTTGGGGACAGCCACATCTTCGTTTACAGGGTCTGAAGTGACGAAACAAGCCGTCATAGAGGCGATCAAACTTGGCTACAGACAGTTCGATATCTCCGCTGTTTACCAGACAGAGAAGTTCATTGGCGAGGCAATAACCGAAGCTCTTTCACTTGGACTCTGTTAAGGAGTCTTAGAGTTAAGCTTACTTAAGAGCTTATATAGCAAGTTATCTTACTGAGTAAGCTTTGCTAATTAGTTAGTTACTATCTTGTTAAGTAAGCTTTCTATTGTAATTTATATATAAACAAGTTACTGTAGCAATATATAATAATATGCAGAATTCTCCCAAACTTCTTTCTGAGTACGTTTCTTTATATGGTACCCAGATGCATCTTCTGATATGGAGTGGTATCCTGACTCTGGTGCTACAAATCACTTGACTGCAGATCCTTCGAATCTCATGTCAAGTTCTGAATTCTATGGTTCTGATCAAGTGCACATGGGCAATGGTAAGGGGCTGTCTATTAAACATATTGGCTCTTCTGTTTTTCCTAGTCCTTTTGTTTCTTCCAAAGCTCTAGCTCTCAAACACTTACTACTTGTTCCTGAAATTCCTAAAAATCTCTTAAGTGTTTCAAAATTTGCAGCTGATAATCAAGTTTTCTTTGAATTTCACCATACTTCTTGTTTTGTCAAGGATTCAACTTCAAAGGAGGTGCTGCTGAAGGGTTGTCTTAAAGATGGTCTCTATGTTTTTGACAACTCCCAGCTCAATCTCAAGTCGTTGGATTCAATTGCTTTCCAACCTGTTTCTTCTTCTTGTTCTTTTGTTTCCAGCAACTTTAAATATTCTATTCCTGTTATGCATGCTTATACTAGCACTGTTTTTAGGCCTTCTCATTTTGAGCTTTGGCATAACAGGTTAGGTCATCCAGCAGATAAGATTGTACAGCATGTACTGACAACTTGTAATCTTTCTGCCATCAATAACACTTCCTTTGCTGTCTGTAAGTCTTGTTGTCTTGGTAAAATTCATAAACTGCCTTTTTCAATTTCTCAAACAACTTATACTAAACCATTGCAACTTGTTCACTCTGATTTATAAGGTCCCTCACCTACTTTGTCTTCCAGTGGATATAGATACTATATTCATTTTGTTGATGCCTATTCTCGTTTTACTTGGATATATTTGCTTCACACTAAATCTAAAGCATTACAAGCTTTTATCAATTTCAAAACATTGGTTGAAAAACAGCTTGAGTTACCTATCAAAAGTGTTCAAACTGACTGGGGTGGGGAATATCGAGTTTTAACAGACTTTCTTGTCCAAAATAGTATAGAACATATAGACACCCTTGCCCCCATACACATGAACAAAATGGTGTTGCTGAGCGTAAACACAGACACATAGTAGAAAATGGTCTAACTCTTCTTGCTCAAGGTTCCATACCCTTTAAATATTGGGATGAAGCTTTTTGCACCTCTGTCTTTCTCATAAACAGACTTCCAACACCAACACTTCTCAATAAAACACCTTTAGAAGTGCTTTTTCACACTAAACCTACCTATTCACAACTTAAAGATTTTGGTGGTGCATGTTATCCAAACACTAGACCTTACAACAGACACAAATTGTAATTTAGGTCTGCCCTATGTACTTTCCTTGGGTATAGCATCAAACATAAATGATATAAATGTTTAGATCCATCTGGCCGAATTTATATTTTGAGGGATATCATATTTGATGAGTTTTCTTTTCCTTTTGCCAATCATAATAAAGTTATTGCCTCTACTTCTGTTGAGCCTAGCTCTTCTTCTCTGTCTGCACCTCTCAGTGTGATTCCTTCTATGTCATCTCTTCCATCTCGTTCTTCTCCCCCATCTCCTGTCATTCTTTCTTCTTCTTCTCTTCAGTCTGTTCCAGCATTAGTCTCTTCTGCTGTTCCCTCAGCCAGTGAACCGATTACTATCATAGCACCTTCCTCTCTTGTCTCAGCTCCAAATCCTAATCTGTGTGCTGCAACCTCTCGACAATCTACATTTCTACCTTCTCATTCCATGGTAACACGCTCTAAGCGAGGGATTTTCAAACCCAAAGTGTACATGGCCACACGAGAGCCTAGTACAGTTGAAGAGGCTCTTACATTAGAAAGTTGGAAACAAGCCATGACAGATGAATTCCTTGCTTTTCAAAGGAATAACACCTGGAGTCTTGTTGCATTACCCCCTGGGAGGAAGGCCATTGGTTGTAATTGGGTTTTTCGAGTAAAGGAGAATCTAGATGGGAGCATAAACAAGTATAAGACACGACTTGTTGCAAAGGGGTTTCACCAAGTTACATGTTTTGATTTTACTGAAACTTTCAGTCTAGTAGTTAAACCAACCACTGTTCGAGTTATACTCACTTTGGCATTAAGTAAACAATGGTCTGTGAGGCAACTTGATGTGAATAATGCCTTTTTAAATGGAAATTTACAAGAGGAGGTCTTCATGGAACAACCTGCAGGATTTATTGATCAACAGAATTCAAGTTTGGTGTGTAAGCTACATAAGTCCCTTTATGGTTTGAAACAGGCTCCTCGAGCCTGGTTTGATAAACTTCACCATGCGTTGCTTAAGCTTGGGTTTCACTCAGCAAAGTCTGATAGGTCCCTTTTCATTCAGATTACCCCACAATGGTCACTATACATCCTTGTTTATGTGGATGATATATTGATCACAGTGACTAATGACTTAGCTATCCAGCAGGTGTCAAATCAACTTAATACTGCTTTTGCTCTCAAAGATCTGGGAGAAATTGATTAGTATCTGGGAATACAGGTTATCAAAACTACTCAAGGTATTCATTTGTCTCAGAAAAAGTATGTAACAGATTTGCTGTGTAAAACAAAAATGCAGTATGCCAAAAGTGTCTCTGTGCCTATGACAACAGGACAAAAGTTAACTTCTATTGGTAGTGATCCAGTAAGTAATGTTCAGTTGTACAGAAGTGTGGTACGTGCTCTGCAGTATGTGATGATTACAAGACCAGAAATCTCGTTTAGTGTCAACAAAGTTTGCCAGTTTATGCAAGCGCCATTAGAAGTACATTAGAAAGCAGTAAAGAAGATTTTGAGATATCTTGCTGGCACAATTGACTATGGTCTTCATTTGAGACAATGCCCTGCAGGAAGCTTGGACTTGGTTGGTTTCTGTGATGTTGATTGGGCATCAGATGTTGATGACAGAAGGTCTACCTCAGGCTTTTGTATTTTCCTTGGTCCAAATCTCGTGTCATGGCAATCAAAGAAGCAGCACACAGTGTCTCGTTCATCTACAGAAGCTGAGTATCACAGTCTAGCTAGTGTAGTGGCAGAAATATCCTGGATGCAATCTCTCTTGAGTGAGCTAAATTATTCTGCATCAAAGGCACCAGTAATTTGGTGTGACAATCTTAGTACAGTTCATTTAGCAACAAATCATGTCTTACATGCAAGAACCATGCATATAGAGTTGGACTTGTACTTTGTTCGAGAAAAAGTCATGAGAAAACAAGTTGATGTTCCTCATGTGCCTGCAGTTGATCAATTAGCTGACATCTTCACTAAAGCCATCTCCAGCTCAGCTTTTAGTCATGTACAGAGCAAACTCAAAGTAGAAAATCTTACTACTTTAAGTTTGAGGGGGGCTGTTAAGGAGTCTTAGAGTTAAGCTTACTTAATATAATAATATACAAAATTCTCCCAAACTTCTTTCTGAGTACGTTTCTTTATAGACTCGATCATCAAATCTAGGGACGAGCATTTTATCACCTCGAAG